GTAGTAGTAGTAGTAGTAGTAGTAGTAGTAGTAGTAGTCGTAGTAGTAGTAGTAGTAGTAGTAGTAGTCGTAGTCGTAGTAGTAGTAGTGGTAGTAGTAGTAGTAGTAGTAGTAGTAGTAGTATTATAATAGTAGTAAATACGAGTACGCGTGCTAGTACCAGTAACAGTGCTTTTTTCATGGGGAAGAGACGTTGAACCTCAATCTTCGGGATGATTGTCATGGTCAGAGATGCTGATTCTGATAGTGGTGCCGGATGCCTTTCTCTGCTGTGCTGGCTATTGTTTTTGGTTGTGCAGCGGCTGATCGTGATGGTGGTCATGCATAGATGACGAGTGATGGTCGTGGTGGTGGTGATGCTGATGATGATGACGATCTTGGCTAATTGCGGCCAGCAACTACTCTGTTTCTGCTCTTGTTATAATTATGAGGTTGAGGTATTGTCCGCATTGTTCTGCACCCGGGCCGTCGAGGACTCATTTGGGGAATGTGCAATGTACCACAGGTTGAGACGGCGGTTCAATAGCCTGTACTGTACGACAGTAGCCGGAGTGGCCAAGAACTCTGTGTAAGCACCATGTCGCGAACACTCCGTGTTTATTGCAGTGCGTCTTTGTTCGTGAATCTGTGAAGTTACCTAGCGGCCTAGCGAGCATGAGGCCACCGAGAGGGGCGCATGGCTGCAGCCTTCAGCACCAGGATTGTAGCTTCACGCTCATTGCCACTCCACACCGAACGGGTTCTCGGGTGGGCATGCTGCGCAGCCATGATGCTTCACAGGGGCAATCTGGCGTGGACTCCACTCCTCGAGAAGCCTGTCCAAAGCATGATAATCACGAACAGGATTGTCAGGAGACAGTGGCAGAGATTTGCGAGGATAGCTTGAGCCGTTTGGTGCAATCTGTCCTGATGGCCTACGCAGATAGGCCTTGCATAGGCCTGCCCAGGGCGGAGGGGCAGAACGTGGAGTGGCACTGGGCGACTTTTGCCGAAGTTATGAAGATGGTCTACCAATTTGTTTCTTTGCTACGGCTCCACCGGCACCATTTCGCTGTCATCTCGTTTGATTGCAGCTGTGTTGAGTTGGTCGCTGCAGACTTGGCCGCTGCACTCCTGGGCATTTGCTCTGTTGTTGTAGCCGGTCCTGACCAAAGACTGGACATTTTGCATCTGCTTGGGGAAGACATGTGCGTTGTCATTGACAAAAGACCAGAGAGCTATGCTGCGATAGCCTCTGATGACGATGCTTGGATGGGGCTAGACAAGGATGTCCTTTTCACTTTCTTCGTGACTTCTGGATCCACAGCATCGCCCAAGTTGCTTGGCAGTCGTAACGTGTGGGATATGAGAGCCTTTCGTCGTGTTGTTTCAGTCGAGATGTTTGGGTGGCTCTCTTGTTTACAGAGCCCTAACCTTTGCAAATGTTGAACTGTGAGTCGTTGCCCGCAACATGGAGGACGAGGAATTGACACAGAAGCTCCCACCGGAGATTTCCTCAAGCCCTGTGACGGAACAGGTTTACCTGTTCGAGCCATTCTGCATTTTGCCATTCTGAGGTCATAGCCTAAATCCCCAAAAGTCCTGCTTGGAAAAGGTTGGTTCGTCGCACCCGAGCCATGTGGCTGGAGACCGTTCGGGACACTGCTCAATTTGGCTCCGAGCTGTGTTTCTCGGCGATCCAAGGAAACATTCTCTCCAAGTTAGCAAGCAGAAGGGGATGTTTGTAACGTTCCCTTTTTGGTCGGGGGCGGGATAGACAGGACCTGCTTTAGTCGCAGCCTTTTTCCTTGTTTCGCCGTTCCTGCCGCTGTGCAGGTAGCCGAAGGCTAAGAGCCTTACAACTTGCATGCCTAAGCCGAGAATCCTGCCATGCTGCCATAAACTATGAAAGGCAGTTCTACGCCGTTAAAGCTGGACCACAGGTATTACGCTGAGTTTCGCCTCCCTGGCACACTCTGGACCTCGGACGGAGCTGTGGTGGAACCTGGTCTGTGCCCCGATGTGCTAAACAATTGAGGCAGCTCTACATACAGGGCCCTTTAAGGGGCTTCCGAACTATACGGTACCTTCTCGAAGTGAGTGTTCTGTATGGACCCGAGTGCAAGTGCGTTGTGTGCTAGCCCCAACACGGCAAGAAAGTCGGGCTCTGCAGCCAGTCTCTGAACCCAGGCAGCGCGAAGCTCCGAAGGAGACCCAAGACCATGTCCTCGACCCTCATACCACACCATTGAAGACTGTCGAGGTGGTGGTCAAACAGCATTTGCTGCCGCCGGGCTTCCTTTGCTTTGCTCCTGGCTCGCCCTTTCCCCTACAGAGCTCTTGGACTGCAAGGGGCTGGCAGCGCATGGCTTTCGGGTTGAACCGAGGTTTCGTTTGTGCCTGTGCAGAAAATTTCGGAAGCCGCGACGACGATGTCATTTCTACAGCAGGGAAGCTTGTTGCATAACATCTCCTGAAGCCTCTGATCAGTTTAACGCGTCATAATTCATCGGACCTTTCATGGCTCTCTGGCTCCGCCTCGCCATCCCACGAACCAATTTCGTATCCGGGGACAGACCCACAGTACAAGACAAAGGCGGAAGAGGACAAGATTAGATTAGATAAGACAACAATGCTTTAGTGTGTTAACGTGTGTGTGTGTGCATATGTATGTATGTATGTATGTATGTATGTATGTATGTATGTATGTATGTATGTATGTATATATACATATATATATATATGTGCACACACATGGTTGTGTATATATATATATATGCATATATATGCATATATATATATATGCATATGTATATGTAGATCTACATACCTGCACAAGGTGTGTGCGTGCGTAAAAAGTAAATAGATGCATGTATATATATATATATAATATATATACATACACACATATATACACTCGTGTGTGTGTATATATATATAGGTATATATAGGTATTTATACACTTATTTATTTTCTTATTATGTCATTCATTTGTATATGTATACTTATATAGTCTTATATATGTATACGTGTAGATACTCCATCCGAGGATCAGTGCACCCCCGAGTGTTTGGTCCGAGCTCCGTCGACGCCTCACGGTGGATGGCGTGGAGGATCCCAGCAGCCTGCGACAGCTGTACTTTGGAGAGAGAATTGTTTTCAGGTTAGGGTAACGGGCCTTCGATGTTGCCACCGAAGGACTCTAGGTTGCTTGTTTATCTTTTGGGTTTGGGCTGCTAGGGCGCGGAGCCATATCAGCAGAAGGATTCGAACTTTGAGTTACACAGGCCTGTTCTGAACTTCGGACAAGAACCTTCGGCTTATGTTCAGATGATCCTCACGTTTCAGAAGTTTTGCCACGGTCTCTTAATTTTCGCTTTTTTGCGCCAGCCTTGACTACGGTTTACTTGAGAAGAGGTCTGGATTAGGGTTTGGTTTGCTTTAGTGCTTCCCTCGTCTGCCGACAGGGTTTTCCTCCCTGGATCTCCTTATCCCACCGTAGTTAGTGGGTGTGTATGTGCCAAGGCTTGATGGTACACGGCCTGGCCAGAATGAATGGATACCCCAACCATACCTACATGCTGCCCTCAACACCCAAAATCCTACGCTAAGCGCTCTGCTCTTTGGACTCCGCAAGCTCGAAGCGAAGAACCTGATAGCCCATGAGAAGCTGTAGCGGTAAGCCAATATCGAGGAAGCCCGACTCCTGATGCTGTACCTTACAATCGGCAAACTAAACAATGACAGCTGCTATACTACTCCAACGAAGATTGCTCAAAGTTGCCAAAGGTATGAATGTCTCCTCAGCCAAGCCGGAGTTGCGACTAGACCTACACGAGCGCGTTACCCGCGGCTGCCCCTTTCCACAAATCCTTGAAGATCAAGACCAAGGTTTCCGGGATTGGTCCGCCGCCTCGAGACTGTGGCAACGGGCTTTGCCAACTCGGACCCCGACCTCCTCGATTTCCTCAGGAGGACTTTGGGCCTTGGGGCGTTTTGAGTTTACGCTAGGGCTCTGATCGTTTCGGGGCCCGTGGCTCAGGCTTCTGATGCTTCTTCTTGCGTGTTAATGTTTGCGTTCTTGTCAGTGTAGTCCTGTTGAATTGCCAGTACTTTGATTCGCAGACAGCTCGACTCGTGTATCTTCCCCGAAGCTGGCATTTTTTGAACGGCTCTTCGGCCTGGCATTGCGTTCCATGTGTGTTCGGCACTTTTCTTGCTCGCTTGGAAGGGCCTCTCCTAAATCAAGACTGTTGACAGCGCTTCTTTATGGTCTTTGTGTCTCTGTGTGTGTGCGTGCGCGCATGCATGCGAAGGCCGGCCCCCGTTTCGAGCTCAATATGTTGACTGTATTTGAGTCAAGCCAAGGGACACGGGTTTTGGCTTGGGACTATCGAGTTGCAAGGGCACATGTTGATTGTCATGACTTTAAGTTTGACGGGCATTTTAAATGGAAATCCATGTAAGACCATGGTTCTATCGCCTAGATAACGGATTCACAGGCAGGATTTTTCGGATTTGTGCAGCTTTGTGGAATGTTGAGGCCACGGGTTTCTGGATGTTTGAAACAGTACAACTCTGGCTCGGACGGGCCTTATCCCAAGCACTTCGGAGTGAGGCTGACCTAGAACAGCATAGGATCTTCGGAGACGAGATCCTTGTCATGGACAACTATGGCGCCACCGAGGCATCTGTCGCGATTTACCTTTGTCATGCGGGCATGTCACGTGCATGCAAACAATATCCAAGCGTGTGCATTCGCTCTGCATCTAGCCATGGGGAAGGTCGAACATGCTGTTCACGCTCAAAAATCGACCAGCAACTGCCACATGAGTGTCGAATTTCTTTTGGGGCGGCTGGGGCACCCGTCCCTTCAGAGGTGGGCAGCATATCTGTGAACGGCAAGATCTCGGGCGAAGACACGAAGCTCGTTGAGGTAAGGACTTCTCCAGGACTGTAGCACCATTCGTTTGCATGATCTTTGTGGTACATCACCAGGCCAAAGTATTACGCATCTGGCGGCTGTAGCTCGAGAACAAGCGAGATGAAGCAATATGAACACTCCGATGAGATGGAGGTCTAGGAATGCCCATCTTTGACGTTCCATGCTACGAAAATCTGAGAGGCACTGCACCGACAACTCTGATCAGAGGTCTGTAATCGATCCGTATACGTGAACTCAAATTTCAATATGGCAAGGCGAGCCCGACAACCAGAGACCTCCCGGCCGAAACAGAACGCAAACCGTACTTTCCAAAGAGGTGCCAGAGCTTGGCATCCACGCCCCGAGGGGTGAAATCTGCGTGAAGGCTGAGGGGGCCTTTGAGGACGGGCTCCGTCTAGGGTTTGGGTTCAGGCTGGGAGTATGAGTCTTAAAGGGCCAGCGATATGATATAGGAGCCAGACTGATGAAGGGTTTACAGGACAGTCTTTGAGGCTTTCCGTGCAAACCGCTTCTGGCTCGGAAAAGCTCAGAGTTGGTGGATTGGAATTGAGTTTACGCGAATGCACTCAGAGAAAGAAGCCGCCTGAACGATGCCTGATTTTGGTATCGCAGGGTCTCGGGAGATGTCTGGTGCAACGGGGTTTGCGGATCACCATGAGAGGCTGTTCAGATTTTGCAACTTGAAGCTTGAGGTAACTGATACTGTACCTGTGTCACATATAGGGTAGATTCTGAATCGAAGTGGCCTCAGCTGTTATACTAGTCGTTGGACAAACCTCCGCTCTGTTTGGGTCTGGGGATGGGTGTCTTGAATGGGGCTCCGCCCACCAGCAAGTCAGGGCTACTATGACACTGCACAAACGGCTGGTGCCCTGACGGACGACGGCTTCTACCGGACAGGCCTGCCGGGACCTGGTGCATGTTGCATAATTCTGTGTGGTTTTCCGAATGCTGTTATACTCACACGTAGTTTTGGAAGCCTCAAAGGCATCCGGACTGGCACCTTCCACCCAGTATCGAAGGGCCAAAGCCCACAGCTCGGGGATTTAGCTTATGTGGAAGCTAAGGGCACGGAGCAGCACATACATCCGTAGAAGGGTTGAGCGACTATCGAATCTACATCGGGGTTTCGGCATGGCTTCCAGGTGACATTGGCGAGATGCAGCATGGCATGTTGAAGGTGGTAGGCCGCCTCACCAATTGGGTCAAACTCGCCAACGGCAAGTTCGAATCTCTGGAAGCTGTGGAAGACGAACTGTCCCAAACCTCTGACTTTGAGCAGGTCTGTGCTGTTGAGATCTCTGGTGCTTTGGCTGCCGTCGTGTATTCCGCTCGATGGGGTCAGAATCCTTCTGCGGCGGCTTCCACAGTTGTGCCTTGCGTGCGTGCGAAAGAGAAGTTTACTGTGGAGAATCTTGGCTGGCCTTTGTTTGCCCGGTCGCTGCACACTACTTATGCCAAAAGGGTCGATACAGCTTGACGCTCCCGAAGCCCGAAACGCCAAACCCAACTATGCCAGACATGAACGCAACAAGAGCACCAAAAGGTGGCACAGCGTATCGATGCATCCAATGTTCATAGGCTACAGCTGACGTCATCATCTCTTCAGGAATGGCCTCTTGACACCATCCTTGAAGCTTCGACGCCCTGCCATCCGGGCCATGTATGAGCAGGAGCTGCCACTTCGGCTTGGCATTGAGGAGGTTTTGTGTGTAGAGTTAGAGTTTCGGCCAGGGGTTTAGGATTTGTTGTGCCGGGATTATAGGACCAGCTGAGTCTCCACTACTTGAGCACGGGCATCTCAGAAATGTCTCCCTGATCTCCTTCGCTTTCTCAAAAAAGACTGCAAAAATTGACTGAGGCAGCTCGAAAACGCGGGCACCTACAACTGCTGTGAAATCTACAACAGAAGGTATGTATGCTTAAATACCTAATCCTGGTTTCCTAGCAGCAGACGTGATCGGGGATGGCCCGTTTCCATGCCAGACCTAACCTCAGGTTACAGCAGATCAATGAGAAGCAGCTTGCTCTCAGCCGGTGGTTGCATGGCGTGACCGGGAGCACGGCCGACGTGGACGAGACGCAGCCGCTTCGCGGATGCAATTTCGAGCGGGTTTTGAGGGGTCAGCGTGACTAGCATATCAGACTGTCGGAGGGTTCGGGATCGCAGCTGAGGATTTCCATGTTCGGACTTCAGGGTGTTCGGTCTTGCTGCTTTGCTTTGAATTGTGAAGCTGTTCCACTTAACGAATCTTGCAATGGATGACTGCGACCTCATTTAAGCCTCATCCCTTCGTCTCCAAGATTCCTGCTGAGTATGCTGGAAGATAAGGGTCTCTCTGCCGGAGAACTCGTCGCTGGCATCTCAACGTTGTTTTGGGGTTTTACCGTCGGTGTGGTAAGAAGCAGAGTACTGGGAGGCTCAAGGAGCTGGGTGTCACCTCGGTGCACTTCGCTCGGCTGGCGGAGGGCTCAGGACTCAGGTTCAGGTGCAGTATTAGTCCACTTGTCGTATGAGTGAAACCATCGACCGCCTGCGGTACCTTTGCAGAGCAGCAGTATCAGTCAGAAGCACTGCAGCAAGTCCCATCGAGTTGAAATCTGGAAGGCGGGATAATTAGTGCGTATGAGTGCTAGCATTCCCTATACAGTTTGATTGTGGACTTGAGGACACTGAGTTCTTCTGGAAGTTACTGTGCAAACCTAACCATCCGCATTGTAAGCGACATCGAAGCAACAGTATCGGTCCTCTGACTGTTATGCACCTGCTTACGAGCTGCGAACATTGGAATATGCCGTTAGTGCCACTTGCGAGCTTCAGGTCTCAGAGCGGTCGTAGAGCGTGCAGACAGATAGTAAACTCCGGCGAATATGGATGCGACCGACGGCCCGAGCTTTCCTAACAGCCTATCTAGCTCCACTTCTGGCGCAGGGAGGTTGGGTTGAAGCATGGAGCGAAGTCATCTTCCTCTCAACCACAGATTTCCGCAGGCCGCAGGTATGCCATAAGCCTGTTCTTTCCTGCAGAGGCCGCAGACCTTGGTGTTCCAGTCCATGCCGTGGCAGCTGCCAGAACGCTGAGGGACCTCAAGGCTCATATCTCACGGGGTCTCTACGCCTTGCTCGTTTGACATAAATCCTAGAAGCGCTACCCCAAGCACCAAATCCTGAAGGTTTGTTATGCCATCGTACAAACGCGGCCCAATATGTTGATACCCTTCTCGAATGATCGAGTGCAAAGATACTACCCAAAGCTTACATGTGACTCTGTTGATCTCAGTGGTGCTCAAGGACACTAGCTAGATTCAGCCTCCATTGAACTGCTGCTAGAGGCACTCTCCCAGACGGACAAGCTGGGTGTGTCGGCAGCCCTCGCAGATGTTGCGAGATTTAGCTGCTTGCCTGCAACAGCACTTCCCCAATTTTTGTCCTAGTTTTTACTTGGTGCTTGGCCAGGAGCTCAGCAGGAAGGGAGGATGATCACGATGATCGTGATGTGGAATTCAGACATCTGTAAATCCTTGCATCAAATCGAACTTACTTCTGGAACATGCTGAGACTATCGAGGCATAGATGCACGAGCACGTTTAGACTTAGAGGTTGGCTCATGTCCGTCGAACTGTAGGGGGATACCTAGTGTACAGTCCTGCAGTCCGCGAGGTCTTCACCGGATCCTGAATCCTGAACTGCCCTGACCCTACAGACCCTCAAGTCGCTGCCCCAACCCGAAGTTCTTACGTGCTGCACCCTGCGTCGAACCCTTGAAAGTCGAACTTTGAAACGCTTCCGCCGTCTCCAGGCTCCAGCTGCAGTCTTTCTGCATCCCCGGTGTCAGGGACCTGGAGGAAGGTCCTCGTTACCGGAGCGACAGGCAGTCTGGGCTTGGGCATTCGAGGTCAAGCGGGAAGGGAGTTGTGGGCTGAGGATCTGGGGCTCAGAGCAGAGTTTGGTGCTTGCAGGTTAGCGGGGTTGGCAAGCCTCTGGTTCCACGAATTCGATTCACGGTCTAGAGAGTGTTGTATCGCTTTCTGGGGCCGCCCTTCGGTTTCAGGGCTGTTCATAGCAAATTTGGCGTCAAAGGGTTTCCACAAGAACGGCGGTGGGGCTCAAAAGGGGCTTGGGAAAGAAAGGACTTCCGAGATTATGATTTCCATCTTGCGAATTAGGGTGTCAGGTTAGGTTTCCGGGTTTGGGAGTTTGGGGTTCGAGGGTTGAGGTTTCAGGGTGTGAGGCCCAGGGCTCACAACACTGTCGTCCAGGGGACAAAGGGTCCGGGTTTGAGGTTCTTCGGGATTCGGAAATCTCGGTCTGGGGCATTCGGCATAGCAGCAACATCTTTATCAGCTCAAAGTAGGGTGCAGGCTCGGGGGGTGTAGAGTTGAAGTTGCTTTACTCGTAAAGTCGAGTCCGAGGCAGCAACTCCCAACGGATGTCTTAGAAATGCTCCCCAAGTATCGGCCGTGTGCTTCTGCTGTCCGACCTGAAGGCATCGGGACCTCCCGGCTTAAGAACTGAAGCCTACGGTACTGAAACCTCCCTCGGCCCGGTGCAGGACCACGCGGTGTTGGGCTTCTAGAAACGAAACTCTTCATGCTTCAGCGTCAGTCGAGCATGTGACGGTCGAGCCCCTAGCCGTAGCATCCAACCGGGGAGGGCATCTCGGACGCCACTTCATGGAGATCCTTCGGGCACGTGGAATCTCTGCTGTTCCTCTGTCGCGCTCCCTAGGCTGGTTCTGGGGGGACGGTGCCAACGGGGTTGGAGTTGGGGTTGGCGCTCGTGACTTGCAGGGTTTCAGTTTTAGGCTAGCGGCAAGGGGATGCTTGATGCTTTACCCCAAGTCTGTCCCTAGAGCACCAGTGCAAGTGTCCGATTTCCATGCTCCAACTTTGCGACTTCTGCTCTCGAAGTGTGCGCAGCCTCGGAAGCCGAAAGGGTATGGAAAGCCTAGTCTCTATGCATCCCTGCCCTCAGACTGCGTGTAGTCTGACCCCTGTAATTCAGGCTAGGGTAGGAATTCGAAACTGCAGGACACCTGAACTCTGACCTTGGCCTTGAATCACGACCTCAGCCCTCTTCCCGGCTGGAAGCGGCGCCAATAAAACACGCAAAAGAAGGCACTGAAGGACTCCGCATGCTGCGGTGTTAATACTTTTGCTGAAACCTAGAAACAGCCCTTATGGTGTTTGTGGTCTTCAGTTTCATGCTGTTAACAACCTGGAGCTTGTTGCTGGCTGATGTTTGAGCTGGGACTCAACGATGGAAGCCCTATAGGCCCGAACAGCAATTTAGCCCAAGCAAGCCAAAGCTGCAAATCCACTGCTCACCCCCTAGGCCGTAGACACCAAAACACCAAAACCCCCTAGGCCGTAGACACCAAAACACCAAAATGATCCCTCCTCCGATGTCTACTTGTTGGTCTTGTGTCCTCCTCTCGTGTAGAAGAGGGTCCTAGCCGAATGAACGGGGAGGCCACGACGTTGCCCAGCCGATGTTTGGCAGCTTGGATCCACAAGAGCTGATGCCTTGAGCTTCTCAGGACACACGGAAGTCACAAAGCTTCTAATAGTCCTAAGCAAGCCTAAGCCGAAGAATCCTGAATTCCAAACAAGGATCGGCCTCGGGCTCTGGGTTTTGGCTTCCAGGGTGTGCGACCCTAAGTTGCCAGGCTACTACGGGTCCAAGTGTTGAAGGCTTCATGGTCTGTAGCTGCTGGGCTCTGGGAACTGGGGCTCGTGGAGGCTTCATTTATTCGAAATGTCCGAAGTAAATCCAAGTTCTGCGGGAGTCGACAGCCCGAAACCTTTCATGGTTTTGCATTGCTGCAGACTAGGAAACAGCACCCTGTCTTGTAAAGCTGCAGGATCTGTGTCAGAGCCTGCGCACCACTCGCAGCAATCATATGATGATGACCAGCTTAGGCATGATGTCCCGTGAGCCAGTACTTTCTGCATCTGCATCGTAATCACGCTCCCTGTTCGTCTCCAGTATCCTCACAAATGGGACTCGTGCTGGTTGTCGTCCTCGGCATACACCCCATGTAGCCAACGACGACGACTACATCAACAAACACTCGTTGGGCCCACTCGTACGGTAACAGCTCGGGATTCATATTTTTCTCCGTAGACGAACAGTCTTGACACGGGGAGATTGACAGCGTGAGGGGTCAGGGGTGGCCACCCGAGAAAAGTAAGTATGGGTTTACAGCCTCGGCTCGGGACTCTCATGTGATTTACAGGTATGGCCCGTGAGACCTTCGATTCCATGTCGGACTGTGATGCCGTCATCCACTGTGCAGCCATCGTGCCGCCCGGCTGGACAACAACTGTTCCAGTGGCTCTGGCTGTTTGGTATTCATCATGATTGTGCCCTACTTGTAGTTGGCCTTTATATGAACTTGTTGCTTCCAACCGTGTTACCGGAGTGCGATCTACTATTCACTCCAGACCTTCCAGCTGTCCGAGTGGTGCTTTCAGTAGTCTGAGTGTGTGTGTGTGTGATATTGTATGCGTACTTCCGTCCAGCATTACCGCCCCCACAAGATCAACATACCTGTAGCATTGCGTCTACTGTTTCTATCGTAGACACTCATCAGCTGAGTATGGATATGAGTGTGACCTGTATTACAGAAGTGTTCCTTGCTGCCGCAGCTGCAGTTGCTAGCGCTGCTACCGCTAGTACCATTACTTGCAGCGAGTGTTGGGTGTTTCTCCTACGCCTCCTGCTGCTACTGCCACTATCCCAACTACTATTACTGCCACAACCACCACTACTGCTGCTGCTACTGCTACTTACTGCCAGTGCTACTGCTGCTCCTCCTCCTCTTACTACCACTACTTCTACTACCACTACTACTACTACTACTACTACTACTACTAGTACCTACTACTAGTACCTACTACCTACTGCCTACTGCCTATTACCTACTACCTACTACCTACTACCTACTACCTACTACCTGCTATCT